CTATAAAAATTTCTTAAAATATTGCATGTAAACAAACTAAATATCCGCTGATTAACATCATGTATAATTTGTACTCCCTAATCGCTTGTCAGGTGATGGAGTGGTGATTAGGTAAAATCTATTTTTAGAACAGTGTTACCTTCAGATCGAAATTACAATTATTTGCATCTCATCAGCCGGGCTATACATACAAGCCCTGTATTTCTTATCTGCAATCTGTTACTAATAATAGATTTTTATAACGATAACGCACAACCTATAGTCACGTGTTTCAGGGAGAATTTGTTTATAATTAGATAAAATAATGAAATATAAACAGGTCTCATAAAAAAATAAACAACAAAATAATTTAAAAGTGTCATTTCAAGTATCATTCATGATTTATATATCATAAAAATAGCAACGCTTGAAACATGGAAAAAAAGTTAAAGTATCCCTAAATTCAATGACTGATCCTTAGGGATACATTATTGATTCATTTTATGAATATTGTAATGTTGCTTTTTTAGATGTCAATATGTGTATATTTCATTTCATTGAGCAAAGTTATCATATATGTTGATTTTTTTTTAGATTACTGAAAATGAGTGTGGTCTTTAATGGTTCAGTAATTGATATGCTTTTTTATGTTCAGATTTTTAAGGGCTTCTTTCTACCATAGGTATAATATTAACTGTTACAAAATATAGTCGCCGGTTTCTACGGCGACTAAATTAACTTTCATGTCTTGTATGTTTCATTAGGACATTACTTGTCGCCTGTAAAAGCTTATCAAAATGAAAGTGAAAGTAGAAATAAACAAGACTGAAATCCAGTGAAATCACAAAAGTTAAAATTTCTAGGGCATTACAATACTAATTAACCAATTTTAGCTCACTTGTTCTCAGAGATGATCTTTAGTGATTGCCTGATGTCAGTATATGGTAGCTAAATATCTCCGGTTACTAAATTCCAAGGTTATATTCCTTTTAAGGTTAAATTGTCCTGGCCTGATATGTAGGCTATGAAAACTGAAGTTGTTTTTGAAAATGCTTGGATAATATTATATTTAATATATACAGTAAAAACTTTGTTTCTCTCAATCTCCCAGGGCCAGCACATTTATTTCCAGAGATCTGTAGTTACAGCTAACGGAGGTTGAACTATTATCATGTATTTATTGTATTATATCTATGCCTGAAGGTTTTCCAGCTAACATACATCGGTCACATGTTAAATTATACGTTTCCATTTTTTTTGTTAGTACATCATTTTGTCGAAAATGTCATTTCTTCTAAATATTAAGTAATATTGTCGTAAAGAATACATTACAGTGTTTTCAAATGAGTATTAACTCACAGTACACTAGGGCTGTCATTGATGGAAAATTTTGCATTGATATATCGAGAGACAAATATCGACAATATATCGACTTAGAACAGTAGATACAATGAAAAAACATTTAAATATGTGTTATAAATTGGGCATGCTTTTATTAGACATTTCAAATACTACAAACTAACAGAAAGTTTTGTTTTTTTTCTATTTTTTCTTTTCACTGAGTTTATAGTTAAAGTAAGCCGATAACACTTGGAAAAAGTTATTTATTTCACATGGTATTTTCTTTGTATCGTTACTTAACACAGCAAATAAACAATGTTATCATAACAAACAAATTGGTAACAAACACCTCTAATTTTGTATCAATTAACCTTAATTGCCTTTATCACAATCAAAAGGTGTTAAAAACAAGTGACGCTAACTGTCACTTAATTTAGAACATGTTAACCCCAAAACTTTTGTTGTCATATTGTGTTCTACGGAGATGTGATTTTCATTATATTTTCTGCAGAAGTGACCAGCGATCAGGTTCGAGTGTTCCAGGCAATCTGTGTTCTAGCGATCCGAGGTATCAACAATATATATTACATAGGAAGTTGGCAAAGACTGGGCAATGAGGTCAAGGCAAGGGAGGTATTCAAGCTATCCAAGGACCCAAGCTAACAAAGTTAAACTGTAAATATAGGTAATTTAGGTAAATTTTGCAAAAATGTTATACTATGTTGTAAATCTTCATGATAAGTGTTTAAGTTTATAATATATAGATTTCAAAATGAAGTGGGATACAGTTTTCAATGTTTTAAAGAAAAGATTTTACATAAGCTTTTCATATCTAATCGAAATATAAATTTATCAGTATAAAGGGGGTAGATTCATATAACTGAAACAAAAGCTGTTTATTTACAGTAAATTTTCTGAAAAAAGGTACTATTGCTATCATTTAAAGAAGCTCGCACTTAGGTTTTTATAAGCTTTAAAAAACATAAAAATTTTTTAATTTCTTCAGCATAGATTTTTAAACATTTTTTAAAGGCAAATTTTTTCTTGAAACAGAAAAATATTAAAATTTTAAATTTTATACCAAAGAAATTTACACAAGGAAAAATAACATTGAAAAATTGATGGGGTTTGTACTAAATTCTTTTGCAGGTTCAAATTCCGAATTTTTGGGTTTTCATTTTTCACTATTTTATAATTAATTATTTTCCTTTTGAGAAAAATTTGGGAAGGCTAAGCTTAAAAGGAATCTTGAAATTTCGCACACAAGTTATTAAAGTTTGAGATTCTTCCAGTCAAATATGGAGTTAATTTTAAATCTCAAAATAATATTTCCAGTTTCCCCATCATGTTCAAAAAAAAAAACCTCAGTGGAGTCCCTTTAAAATAAGTAAAAAGTCATATAATTTATAATTTATATGTTTTTCGCTTGTTGGCAAGCTTGGGGAATTGGGAAAACATTATTTAAATTTTTTAATGGAAAGTTTTAAATGCTGCTTTTCCTTTCAAAAAAGTGACATGGTGGGGGCTTTTTTTGATCGCTTTTCGTTTCCCCCCCTTCCCTTGGCCCCCCGTCCGGTGGGCCGTCCGGGTTTTAAAAATTTTTTAAAAAACATTCCTCATAAACTGCCTAAAAACCAATTTATTCCCCCAAAAATTCACAAGGAAAGACCTTTGGGTTTTGTGAACTTTTAAATTTTTTCCCAAAAAATTTTAGTTTTATGGGGAAACCCCTGGTTTTTCCCCCCTGGGGCAACCGAAAGAAAAATTAAAAAATTTTTTTCCTTTTTAAAAAACAGAAAAAAGGCCCAGGGGGGGTGAAATATTTGGGCTTTAAACATCATAATCAAAGTTCTACCAAGTTTTTTCAAAAAAAAGGGCCCTGAGGTCAAAATTGGCCCCGCCCCAGGGGCGTCATTGTTTTTCCCTTTATGTATATAGTAAAACTTAAAAAGTCTTCTTTGAAAAAATCCCAAAGAGCTAGAGGCTAAGATATTTAGCATGAAACATCTTCTAATTGGTGTCTACCAAGTTTGTTCAATCCAATTTCAAATAATGGCCCTGGGGTTAAAATTGGCCCGTCCCAGGGTCATTGATTTTCCTTATGTGTATAGTTTTGCAAATGACTATGAAAAAGACTCCATTAAAGGAATATTCAGGCAAAATAAAGACAAAAATATTAAAATGATCTTATGTACTCAAATCACACTAAAATGACTTTTCTTGAAGTTTCTATATACAGTTGACTCTCGGTAACTCGAAATCCAAGGGACTGTGCATTTTACTTCGAGAGAAACGGAATTCGAGTAACGTGAAACGTTGACATTCATACATGTATATGCATATGCCTGATTGAATGTGCAAAGAAGTAGGTTTGTGTTATTGTTGTTAAGGCAGGCAAATGCTGGAAAAAATATTTTAATATTACCGTTGAATGACTGGGTAAATCAAACTTACAACTACAAATTATAAGTGAAGCAAAAATATATTATTCAAAATTTAATACATGTATAATAATAGTGAAACATTAACGACGCACATTCGTAGCAATACATGACATGCAAGGTTTGTCAGTAATTCATCATTTATCAGTAAAAGCACATGTTTTTTATAATAAGCACTCATGACAATTTATTACATTAAAAGCACAATAACACATTTATTTCAACAACAGGGGAATTCATCCTAAAATATTTGAAAAAAAAAAAAAATTTTTGTGAATTGAAATCATTCGGACGGGGAAAACGAAAAATAGGGTGCAAAACTATCGTGAAGCCGAAAGTACAAAATTAAAAAAATGTATGCAATAATGAACGGAATATTAATTATACAAATGTCATTTACATTGTTAACACACATCAATACCTAGGCTGTTATTTGACTAACATCCATCAGACTGACACGAGTCAACTTTCTTAAACAAATGTAATTAAATTTTAATTTAGTTGTCTAACTGATAAAACCAATTAAGTCCTTTAACCGATTAAAAGCACTTTTACAACGTGTTAATAAAACATGATGACCGGCAATTAAAAATACTATGAAACTTGTGAATCACGAGTGACAACATCTCACCTTGATGTTGCCGACCTTTGATCAGTCGGCTGTTTTCACACTTTGACTAATTGAGATGAAAATATGTTCGACTTTAATTGACAGGACCAAATTTTCTTTTCGACTAAACAGGAGTCTCGGTAAGTCAAAATTTGACCTAAGCGGAGTTAAAATACAAAGATAAAGAAGGAAATTTGACGGGACTTTAGAAATTCTTCGACTAATGCGGAATTTTGAGTAAAGCGATTTTGACTTATTGAGAGTCAACTGTATGTGTATATTGAAAAACTTTGTGGAAAAATGAGATTTTGACCTTAATTAAGATATATTCTGTATGTTATCTTTATCATTTTGACTTTTTACAATAGTTTGTCTGTAATGGTAATGTTCTTTCAATAATAATACTGTATGACTCTTGTTTATTAATTGAAACGTTGAAGTGATAGATATATTGTTGCAAAATTGAAATAAACTTAATAATAAATATGTGAATATAAATGTGCTCACTCAACACTGTTAATGAAAATTGATTATTATCTGGGGACAATGCTTTTTCTTAAATGGTCAGATTGGTTTAAAATGATTATTACATTAGACAGGCCACGTTACCAAGTATCAAGTGAGTTGCTATGGAAAAGAATATTTATAACATACTGGAATATTTCAGTTATTTCAAAATTGCCCATTTGAAAGCAAAGTACACAGAGTTTTTACATGAAATACTTAAAAAGTAAGTAAGTAACTAAATTAATTTGTCACACTTTTGCTGTTTCTGAACATTCATTTTAGCAGATAATCTACAATGTACAAATTGTAAATTATTTTTTCCATAAACAAACAGCTATTAATATGTAACATGTTTTATTTTAACCATCTATACATCAGAAAAATTGCATTAATTGTTTTGTTACCTTAATTTGAAAAAAATGTTTACCCAGAGATTAACTGTAAGATATGAAATTATCATCCGTTAAATGCATTTCAATATTACATTTTTGAATTTCTTCTTCATATAAACAATGAAATGAATTAAATTTCAGCAATATTGATACTGAATTTATCTTTTAACTGAATTTGATATGGTTTTCAAAGAATTAATGTTTAATGTATAATACTGATTTCAATGCCTTATTTTTTCAGTACCAGGGAGAATGAGACTTGTTTGTTGTCTCAGACAAAAGAATGCTCTGCTGAACTTGATCGTCAATGTATAGAGTTAGAGAAAGCTGATAATTTTACCAATGGTTCAAACACAGAGGTTTCAAAGATGAGACAACAGCTGTTAAAGTATAACAATGACTTGAAACAAGCACAAGAAAGGCAGTACGAGCTAGAATATCAAATAGACAATAGGTAACTGTTCTTTCTCTTTGATGTCATTTATTCTGTAATGCTTTTATGTGGCTGTTTTCTTTTGTTTGGCTAAAAAGAACAATAGAGAGAACAAGAGAGTAGCCACATTATTACTCTACTGTTAGAATGTCCATCCGTCCGGTAGCAATTTGGTTTCCGGAGCATAACTTAAGTTCCATTTGGCCCAAAATATTCAAACTACATAAGATGATTATCCATATTGAGTTGAAGACCCATATTGATTTTTGGGTCACAAGGTCAAAGGTCAAGGTTACTTTACATTATTACCTTAAATCTGAAAACAGTTTCCGTTCCATTTGGCCCACAGTGTTAAAACTTCATGGGATGATTGTCCATATCGGGTAGAAGACCCCTATTGATTTTGGGATCACAAGATCAAAGGTCAAGGTTACTATTACCTTTAAACTGAAAAAAAGTTTCCAGAGCATAACTTAAGTTCCATTTGGCCAACAATATTCAAACTTCCTTGGAGGATTGTTATTTGAAGGAGGTAATACTTTATTTAATTCAAATGTCTTACAAATGCTTCATCTTTACTGAAAAAGAAAATCACTTCCGGGCATATAATGCTCCGCCTAACGATGCTCTTGTTTACTTTGTGTTATTGTCTTTTTTTAAACATTTATTTGTTAGCATCCATAATCATTTCTAATTTACTCTCACATGTATCTGTAATTCTTTATTGTTGTTTTGTTATTTTGACTCCTTTAAAATTGTAATAATTTTGATATATTATAACTCTACAGAGGAGAAGAAATTAATGGAATGAGAGTACTCTAGAATGCCAAAAGCTGGAAAGAAATTTAATCATTGGCTCCAAGTAAATACTCATTTGATATGTGACAATATGAAGTAATACAATTTTACAACACATTTGTATAGTTTACAGGAACTCTGCCTGTGCAAATGTGTCTTAAAGCAAAATTATTTGATAATATATTTGAAATAGTAATATTTTTTTTAGCTTGTCTATTGAATAACTTAACTTGAGCAATTGTGCTCACCCAGGTGCCTGCATCTATCTTGTCGTGGCTGTCACACTTAGGTTAAATTTTTATGTGCAAGTTTGTATCTTCAAAACAATTGAAGGGTTGTTGTTTTTGTAAAAAAATTCCATCTAAGTAATTATATACTATTAAATAGTATTCCAAATTGAAATTTAAAGAAGACAGGTCCGTTGTATAAATTTAGCAGTTTGTACTTTGGTAATTTTTTAGTAATATAAGTAATGTTTGTGGTATTTCAGGAAATTGATAAGGAAATCAAAGAGTAACAACAAGCATGTGATGATATAAAGAAAGAAATTATTCAGAGACAGCTAGAGGTTAAAACATTGAAAGAAGATTTAGATACATCTAATAGACAAGCATGGATAGTAAAGAATATGAAAAGCTCACTGAAAAATAGGAAAATCTTCAGGTTAGCCTTACCATTCTTGTACAATACACTAACAGTGATAATTGTAGATGTATATCTTTTAATCTGTAACAGAAGTATTTGATTTTCTTAAGTAAGGAGGCTTTTTTTTATACATACATTTCAAAGAGGAAACGATAAAGATTAGGCCAAAAGTTGGTTTTAAAATTCTATGAAATTTAAAACATTTTGAAAATATTAACAAACAAGTTAAAGTTGATATTTTCAAATTTTTATTGTAAGTATTACTTTTTTGTTTAAGAAAATTAAAACAAACTTTTTTTTGGAGTTATTTTGATACTTAGTGAGTGCATTCTGTAAAAAAAATCTAGATTGTCATATATTCAGTATTTTGTCAAAATTTATTTAATTCTTCAGGGGAAAAAAACCCTGGTGATTACTGAACAGACATTTAATTTATCTATTATTCTTTGATCAACAGACTATATAATCTTATAATTCTTATACAAAAAAAGAAGAAAAGAAATGGCTATAATAAAATGTAATTTTTAAAATCAGATTTATATATTGACAGGGTGATTTGGTACAAAATTCTGGAAACAAAGTGATCCCTCGGAAGCATTAATAACAACAAAATAACATAAGAATTGCAGACTCTGTTTGATTGAGTCTGTACATGAGGGATAATGAATAAGTGCAACATCCCTCACGCCCCCTAGCACCGGCTTGAGCGGTACTCAATTCTCAACACTTTATAGTGTTGGCATCAATGATCCCGAAGGACCAGAAAATATAACAACACTGAAGTGTGTACAAGTTAACACTGTTCCAAACCAGAATGCAAAAGAAGCTGATAAACTGGGAAGAAAAAAGATGTAAGAAAATCTGAAACTTTTTACACTTCTGAATAACTATGTGTACAAATTCTTCTTTCATTACACAATAAAGTAAAATTTAAGTAAGGTCTTGACTAAGGATTTTTTTGCTTAAAGAACATTGTAACTTAATTCCCAACTGTTTCAATTACCATAGGTATATTGCCTAAATGTAAGTATAAATGTTGTAACTTGCTGATCATTTGTAAATGTTAAATTTCATTAGTCAAAGAACATTATTAGCCAATTTTAACTAAAGGTGAATAAACTAAAATCCTTCTAATAACTTATAAGTTTTAGCTGACATAATAATGTATAAAACATTTTTTTTATTTCATTTACTTTATGTGATTTTTTTAAAATAAAATATTTGTTGAAATTTTTAGATCAATATAAAATATAACTTGACTTTTTTTTAATAAATTAAAAAGAAAGATTATTGTACAGTTACTCTTTGTTTGTTTTCAGTGAGCTAACTGCTGAAAATCTACCCAGACTCACTAACATTACCTGTTTAAGACTGAGTTTATAGATTTAAAAAACAACATTAACCAGCTTTCATCAGTTTAGAATGATAACATTCTATGTGTTATATATATATATCAGAATTCTGTAACAGCTGTTGAGCATGTTAAACTAGAGGCTAGTGCAGCAGAGGAGCAGAATTTATTGTATGAACAAAGTGATCTTAGAATTGAAGTGGTTGAACTCACGAGACTGGCTGCTATTAAGGTATTTTATTGTATCCTGTTTTCTAAACTAATTACATGTATAGGAAATTTCTTTTCATTAAAAATTTTGTTGATGATGTTAGTTTGATTCTTTATTTTTGTTTTGCTGTTGCTGTACACATGTACTTTTCAAAAAGCAATGTTTATGACATTCCTGTATAAGTGGTTAAGGTAGCGAAGCGGAAATATTGGCAAATTTCGCAAATTGACAAAAACCACGAAAATTTCCTCTAGAACAGATATCACCCAGCCAGTAATTAAATTCTGCCCTTGCATGATTTGCTAATATTGCCTCATGCAAAATATCTGGAATTTTAGATTCGCTAACTTTTCAAGACACAGATATATGCACTTTACAGTTCATTTACTATATACATCCTTGATCATTATTGTTTTGAATACTCTGTTTTATTCTTTGTTTCATTCTTTCACATACTTTATCACCTTAGTGCAATAACTGGTTAACTCCTATTAAATTTAGATGGACTTAACTCGTTACTGCAATAAGGTGACAACTTGTTTATATAAGCTTGTCAAGCACATGTATTTGAATATAAAGTGTAGATATTTAAAGTTGCTTACAAAATGATTCATTAGGCTGATGAAAGGGAACAGAAAGCTCGAGATTTCATGCGTGCTGAGATGTCAAGTCAAGTAAGTTTCTATGAAATGTCGATATTATTACTATAGATTTATATGTTAGACATAACTGTACATACTTATAATCTACTTCACTTTGAACAAAGGGTCTATTTAGGAAACAGGTATCAATTTTGATGGCATTGTTATAGAATAATGCACTGAGTTCAAATTTGCAGGAATATTATCACAATGTGCCTGAGTAATTAATTATCAAGCATTGTAATAATAAACTGTTCATTATTTTACTATTTTGTAAGAAAAATTAAAATTTATTTCCTTTCTAACATCAGTTTAAAAAAGAAAATTGATAAAAATATGTTGAACTACATTGAGTGTAGAATTAATTTTTCTGACGTCATTTGGCTTATAGACTTCATATCTGATGTCATATGACATGTAAGCATTTGAATTTGTTGTGTAAAATTGCACTTGATTGCCTTATCTGTCTGATAGGGGAATAGTGTGAAGCATGTTAGAATGATATTTATTTATTACATTTTTTGAGAAAAAGAGTTGGATTGAAATCAAAGTGTTTTCTAGTTAGTTGTTTGCCAATTCATAAATTTTTAGCAGTTGTGTGCCATAAAAATTCTTAGTTAATAAAACTTAGATATGTAATCTGTACAAATTACAGAAAAGGTATTTTAATGGGTGACTTACAATTGCAGGTTAAAAGATTTTGCCAAGTTGTATGATGTTATAAAGAATGAGCATAACAAGTGTGTGAACTTGATTCAGACGAGTACACAGAAAGCGGCAGAAATGAGAGAGAAGATCAATATCTTACAGAATGACACAGCAGCCCCTCAAAAAGACAGGTACGTATGATGCAAGAATGAACAATAACTATGTTTCACCACTTGCTTTGCTGTCATTCAGAGATACACGGATGTTGATGCATTTTTTGCTATATCTTAAGTTGTTATATCAATTGTGATATTGGCATTTTAATTATAATGCTTCTTTCCATTGTCAACACTTTAATAATGATGTAATAACATATTTTGTGATGTCAAATCATTGTTATTATAGCATTTTAATTATAATGTTATATCACCTATTATTATGTCATTATGTATGAATTACGATGTCATAGTATATAAATTGCAGTAGGCCTCTGGGAGTTATTCTAAATGTTAATGCAAGTGTACCATGTAACTATGAATTTTGTATTGTTACATAGGTAACAGTACTTTTAACAGTATAAAATCTGGTCACGTGGTCTATATTCTAAATAAAATGAAATAAAATGGCCGTCATTTTTTTCTCAATTCAATCTTATTTTTGACATTCACCACAATAGGACATCAACAGAGTAACTATGACACCCTTAAAATTTAGTTGTTTTGCACCCTGGAGTGCTTTTTGCATATAAAATATCTTTTTGTTGAATAGTCAAAAAGTAAACATGAGTTTTCAACAGAAGTAATTGCAATGTGAATAATTATGTGTCAGACGATTTAAGCATGCAACAAAGGAACATTTAACGGTTTTAATTAGTGAAACGTTACAGATATGGTGGACAGACATAGAATATCATCGTTATTTTGTCAAAAACCATGCTAAGAATATTCGGGATACAGAAGGATCATAACTGTATTAATGGGTTAGTGTTTTGTTTCTAAATAAAACACAGCTGAGTGTATGTTTATGACTAGTAAAAATCATCACTTACTTAAAGAATAATAAACAAAAAAGAAAACTTCTCAAGTATGCCTAAAGTA